TATGGCTGTCGATTGTAAAAAAACAACTAATTATTACTCTGATTTTGATAATATCTAATACGCTCACATGACATAAAAAGTATGATCAAAACATCATTTTTTGTTTTCGTTTCGTGCAATATATCAGGTAAATTAATATTACACACTATACGTTAACCATACAACTACATATGTGAAATAGATGCTTATCAACAATTTGTTTTTTATTTTCGTTTCATTAACTTGTTTTTCAATATTGAAAATATGTAACCTTTTACGTTATCATTTACATCATTTTTTCTTACATAGTAACTATGCTACAAATGTAGTAAAAGGACAAAATTAGTGAATATGATTATCGATGAAAAAGATTGATAACTTGAAAACAAAATATTTGTTTTTATAGAAAATATTACTACTCACCCGTAAAGTGTGATACTACCGTAGTACTAACTATACTATGAAGCGTAACTGTCGATGATTGCATAATTAAATGATGTAACTGTATGCAAGTATAAACAAATTGATATTTTACTTCCTTTGAATTTTGGTCATGTCTACTAGTTAAAATTATTCACTGTTGACCAAATGGAAAGATCGTTTTTCAATCATTAACAAAACTGGTCCGTAGCAGTGAAAAATACCACTTCAAACAATATAGAATCCTTAAGTATATTTTATCATACAGTTAACAATTTTCTTTATTATCTAGTTAATAGAAAGACATTATTAGTCGTCTTCGATTGGTTTTATTTTAGCTTGACTTGCATAGAAAATAGTTCATACTGAATAGACAACACATCATAGATTCATTTTCTTATGATGTTTTCGCATGAGCAAATATTTTGTTGACGAGAGTGTAGTTATGGGATTGAATGTAATTTTTATAGGAATGACTATACATGAGAGAATAAGAGCGTATTTTTTTCTGAAAAATATCATAATATTAACTCAATTTCCAATATGATACGTCAAAACTAAGAGCTGTCTCATTATTATTATTATATGATTTATATATACAGAAAATATTTCAAAACCATATTACAGCAACAGACCACTATTCATTCGTACATTAAAGTGTCTGATCAAGTAAAAAGAAATATATGTATTCTCGATCGATACTGTAAAATCATTCGTTATATAAACTATACTTAAGCAAGTTAAATTGTATAAATTATTATTTTATTAAAAAATATGAAACAAACAAATTTATTCCAATATTTCTTGTTCAACGAAAGATTCTTGTTGATCTTGATATATTCTTAACACTGTTTGAACCTGTTCACATTGACCTAAAATTCAAACATTATCAAAGACGATTCTATATATATATAAATAAACATACGAGAATGAAGTGAACTTGTTTTTCCTTTAACTCTCAGACGTTGTCGTTTTAACTGATAATTATACTTGATAGCATCATCAGCTATTTTATTCAATATATTTAACAAAAAACAAAAAAACATTTTTGCGAATCTATTTACCTTCTAAATTAAATAATATTCCAATAAGAATAGATATAATTGTTCCTGTTCGTCCATGACCACCCCTGCTTCGAAAAAAAAATTATTTGAAAATTATTTCGAACGTTTCATTTTATTTTACCAGCAATGAATAACAATATTTTGTTGATCATCTCGAATTCTTTTACATAGATTCAAACAAAAGTCTAATAATTTTTCATTATCACGACAAATATATTGATCAGGTATTGGAAATGAAATAAATTCAACTTTTCGATTATCTATTCATTCAATAATATAAATATACAATTTCAATTGAATTAAATAAAAAAATACCTTGACGAGCATATTCTTGAATATCAGATTCATAAGGAGTGAAACGTATAAGCTCTTTCAGTTCCATTAAATTAACAAATACATGAACTCCACTCTTATAAATCGATCGTGTTATTTGTCGATGTTCATCATAATCCTTTGCACCTGGATAGGCACTTGCCAGAAGCACGTCTCGAATGACTAAACACAAAACAACATGTTTTTAATATAACATATCAGTATTTTAAATAGTATTGCTTAACCACTGGATAAGATTCTATATCTAATGTAAACAATAGGCATAATAAATATTTCTATCACAATTTTTCATAATCATTTTCAAATTATATCGATAGAATATCACTAGAAATCACTCTTAATAAGACTGTGCCACAGAAAACTTATATTCTTCTTCTATATAGATGATTGATGATATTCCAGATCATACTGACGTTAATTATCCTTAGATGATCATTTTATGAGACAACATAATAGCATCGATTTGTTTTTCTTAACGCCATATATACATTTTTTCTTGCGAACTTTTAAATAAACTAACTTTAAATATGAACAGACTAATTCTGTTGCCAATCTTCGTATTTCTAATTTTAAGCAACAGAATCATGGCTTGAAAAAAAAACAATGATGACGAAATTTTTTCTTTTTACTTATCAATCGTAAACTTTATTCATTCTATATTAAAAAATAAAACACATTAAAAGTTTATTCCTTTCTTTTTCGTCTAATATTAAAATTCTATTTTAATATCTTACTCCAATGACTTGTTGAAGTTGGACCAGAACAAGAAGTATCAATTGAACACAGTTGCATTGTCGATAAATGAAAAAAGACAAGTTATTTTGTAATAGTGTACTTATCATATGTAATTACATATTTATTGCGTAATAAACGTTCTTTTCTCAAATATACATATTTCATGGTATGATGTAAGTCGAAACTTAACAAGACTAAATCCTTTTGGCAATATAATGCTTTACTAATTTCGAATACGAATTATTTCTTATGTAAAATATTAATAATAAGTAAATAGTTGTTTTAATCATATGATAATTAATGTATACTATACATGTATAAATGTTCGTTTTCAATACAAAACTTACATATATCGATTAAAATGATGTACAGGACATTTGTAACAACGATATCATTTTTGAAGAACTAGATCAAATAATCATAGTTTCATATAATTTATTAATGTAAATATGTAATCGTAATGCTATGTTCATTATTCATTTATTTTACATCATTTTTATCATAATATATAGATGAACATAATTAAGTAAGATTTTCTTTCTCGTTAACTTGCTTCAAAATCTTCTTTTCAATGTTTTTTCATATAATCATATTATTAGATCATTACTTAACCATGTGAAATTCCTTTCTCAATTACATAAGATCGAATGAGTTTTTCTATTTAATATGATTCGTTGTAGTCATCATAGATTCGATAACTATTCAAGTAAATAAGAATTGATAAAAGATGGTTTTAAATATATGAATCACAGTTTTATTTCTAATATCAATGGAATTCTTAAGGCATATAACTATCGAACTGATTTTTCTAGGTAATACCATTCTATTGTTTTTTTTCTGCTATAGTTTGGAATGATATTGTGTAGCTGTTACCTCCATCGATATTAACCAAGAGAAAATCTGTTTAAGGACATATTTATCGAAGAAACTGCTTCCGTAGAAAATTAAAAATATGAGATATGATAGTTTTATTACAGATTCTCATTCAGAGTAAAACCTATAGACTTCAAATTTTATTTATTCAGACTTATGTTTTTCATATAATTAATTATGACGCTTGAAAATATTTTTTTATTATCGATAAAAATATTCACATTCTTTTATCATGATTCATCGGTAGGTCAATTTGACTTTGATATATAATTATATCAATAACATATTTTTCTTATTCAATAATTTAAATAACAAACACTTTTTAGTGATTGCGCACAAAGTATACGTACAATTTTAGTTTAAAGCTATATACTTTTGTCTACTATTTATGAATAAGTTTAACGCTGCAAGAAGGTAAAAAGAAAACGAACACAATAAAATATAAAAGTGATTATAATATTACAAAAAACGAAATTTAAGATATTTACAAAGCAATTTTGTTTTCTTAACAACTCTTTTTCATACTTGGACTATGTCTTTCCATAAAATCTGAACCGGCTTGTAGAGTAGTTATACTTGGAATATCATCCGTATATGAAATATGTTCTGTTAAATTGCAATACCATGTATAGGGTCCATGTTCTCTTACAAGACATCCTTTTAACCAATATGAATCACATGAAGTTTTTGTTTCTCTTTCTAAATCAGCGCATTTTGCCCAAATCAAACGATTATCTTTTGTATATAAAAGTATATTGTTTTCATCTAAATCTGATGGAATTGTTATTTGTTTTTTATTATTACGCTCACCAATTTCTAATAAACGTTGACGACGACCATAAAATTCCATATCTGTTTTCCGTGCAGGTTCATTTGATGGAAATATAAAACAACAATGATTAATAAAACGTATTTTTTTATATGCTGGTATAGAAGCTGATGATGTATACGATCGAAAATCAGCACGTAAATCACTTTTAATTGGTTCAAGATTAACAAGAAGAAGTTTATTTTTTGCTTCATGACCAAAATATTCTCGACATGTACTACTTCGACGTCTTCCACCTGTAAACCAACTTGAAGATGGATGAGAAAAGATGAATAAATGAAAAATTATTAGAAATAATCTCATGTTTCGTTCTTTTTTTTTCGTTAGTAAATGATTTTATATATGGAGACAAACACAAAATAGACGATATGATAAAAAATACAAGAGAAAAAGAAATGATCAGAACAGTTGCTACTAATTAAAGTAGGAACAGAGAGTATATAGAGAGAATTTATATGCAAACAAAGAACAGCAGTAAAAATAATTTGTCTTTCTTCTCATTTTCATTATTAGATGATACGACTTTTGCGATTACGAGATACTGCTTCTCCAATATAAATTGCACCACCAATAAAAGCAATAACAGCAGCAATAATGGCACCTAAAAAAAGAATTTTTTGTTTTATAAATTTAAATATTCGAAAAAGAAAGAGAGAACGCTTACTATGATAATAGCTTTCGTAACGCTCACGATAATGGTAACGGCTAGCATCGATAGCGGCACCAATACCAAATATAATAAGTGCAATAGCAGCACCAAATGCATAAATAATACGAAGTCGATTTAGTGGTGCTAAGGTTCCATCCGTAATTAATAGCTGTTCAATAAGAAGAAAGCCAGTTAAACTAAATACTAAATTTTAATTATAAAAATAATTATATTATATATTAATATTCATTGTAACTTACGTATAGGAAAAAGTATAGTATAACCCGTACGATATGAGTACCATGTTTGGGTATAGGAATAATAGTTAGAATGACAATGAATAATACCTACAGCAGTGACTACACAAGCTAATGCCATCAGAATAATAATTGTACGTCGAAGATCAGCCATTCTAAATTAAATATTTCAGTTTATAAATTTTTATATATTCATATACAACTCACTTAATTAATGATGTATGTTATCAATAAAAATATGACTACAAATATCTCTTACACAATTGTCTGTTTTTTTCCTAAGCAGAAATATATATATATATATATATAAATATTATTTCTCGTAGCAATCTATTTATTATTCGTCCCACACAACCTCTATGCTGTTACAGCAATAGTAGTAGAAAAATAGAACCTACTCTTTTTTTCCTTCCCGAGAGATATACAAATAGAAAAAAAAAGATTGGACCATTGACGCAACTCTCTCAACATACGCATTTTATCGTTACCATTCTCTTTCCTCTATGTCAAGAATAGATATTCGCATGGTTATGGATTAGCTAAATATACTGGATAATGATGTCATGTCCTTTTGAGAAGGAATGCGTGGTTACTCTAGCAATACATCTGTATACTAAAATAGACCTGCAAACATAATAGTAACGATTGTATCTTGTTGTTTTTCTTTCTGCTTATAACAAAATTCTGGTATATATTACTGTCAATAAGACAAATAATTATTAATATAACTTGTAATAAAATAAAGCGATTCAAGTTAACAAACGTTAATGCATACAAATTAATTTATTAGTTTCAAATAAAGTATTATGTTTCATTTGGTGAAACTATTTGTATATATATCAAAGGTTACAATAACGGAGACAGAATATAAAGGGTTTTTTTGTTACTATATGGTTAGTTTAGTTTTATTATGTTTATATGAAATAATAGGCAATAATTTTCATCATGATATTAAATAGTTTAATACATAAAAAGAATATTTTATAAACATCATTGTTAACCTATAATTTAGCCATGAGAATATATTTAAATACAAAATAAAGTTAATCATAAAATAAATATTTTTTTTGTACCAATTATCATAGTTATTGACATTAATACATGCTAATATTATCTCAAATTATTGGTTACTCGAGCAGATGAAAGATACGTTATTTACTTATTCAAAGATTAAACGACAATTCTCGTAAGACATCTATTGTTTTCGAATAAATAGTAAACTTTATTATAGAGACCACATGGTTATCTTACAAATGTTTTTGATCATCAAAAATAGAATGAAATAAATTATCTTTAATCTAAAAGATAACATTTCAAGGTAATCGATAATTCTATGGTATAATACTGTCACATTTCTCATATATTATCTTTACATATCCTTGAAAGATGTTAACGATTGTCTATTTTTTTCTATTACAAACTATACAAGACAAATGTTTCATAGCTAATACCACAGTTGTTTTGACATGTAATCAACAGAAGCTATATTCGAATTGACTAATGAATCTTTTAGATTATTTTTTTAAGAAATGAAGAATTTTATCATATTTATTCTTATTGTATGTGTTAGTTTTATTTATACGAAAGATGTTTGTCGATTTCCTAAAACTTGGAAAACGTATGGCTTTTTTTTTCCTTTAAATTGTTAATATATCCTTTTATTTAGTCGTTATGATTTCGATTATAAATCTCGTAAAAATGAATGGGCAACACCGAATGCTAAAACCGATTATTATAAGCTAGTTCTTTCATGGTCACCATCGTTTTGTAAAGAATTACCAGCATCACAACGTAATCAAACATTTCAATGTCAATATAATGATTTTGGTTTAATTGTGTAAGAAAATTAATAAATATAATATTTTTCTTGAAGAATATTTTCTTAGTCATGGCTTTTGGGCACAATCAAAAAGTGCTAAAACTCTTAAACAACATCCACGTAATTGTCGTAATGATAAACAATTACCTTTGACAACAGTAAATAGAATATTATATTAAATATATATATTTATTTCTCTCTTTCTAGATCAAACGCCATTTTTGTATGATGCCTGGTGAAACTTTAATTCAAGGCGAATGGGAAAAACATGGTAAATAATTAAAATATCTAATACAGATTATATCTTATTTTTTGATTATAGGTACATGTAGTTTTCGTACGGGTGAGGAATATTTGGATACAATTGAACGACTTTATAACGCATTAACAATTCCGAATCTAAAACTTATCTTAGCTGATAAACGTGTTGATCAATATAAAATAAAAAAAGGATTTATCGAAAAAAATCCGAAGTTACATACAAATCAAATGATTATTTATATGAAAGGAAAAGAATTAGTTGATATAAAAATATGTTATGATCTTAAATTAAATTATACAAATTGTTATCGTTAATCAGAAATAAAAAAAAATATATATATTTATTCACTTTTTTTGTGTTAGGTAGTTCATTTAGGAAAGATTATCTAGTTTAGTTATTTATAAAATAAACATAGAATAGAAAAAAGCAACTCTTCAAATAAATATTTTCTATTATTCATCATCATCATCATCATCTTCATCAATAATATAATCCGTTGAATCAATTTGTTGTTGAATTGTTTGATCATAATTTTGTAAGATATCTATAAGATATGTTGGTGTCGGTTGATTTGTTGATAATAACGCAGTTTGTTGTGCTTGTTGAGTTTGCATATTAAGAAAAGAAAACTTTATAAGATAATTATTACTATGAGTTGGATCTCGAACTAAACCAAATGATTGATCGAATATTCCAATACAGGTACCGCGTTGATGAATTGTACCATGAACTTGTATAAGTACAAGACCATGTTTAGATTCTTCCGCTTTATTTGATTGAATATTTGGATAAAAATGTAAATCTTGACTGGTAATATAAGACCGAAGGGTTTCACATACATAATATGCGGCTGATATTCGACGTTGATTTTCATGAACAAGTGTTAATTGACAATCGGGAAAGAAATGATCGGGTGTAAATGTTGTTAAATTATTCCATGATGTATAAAACCATTCAGTAAATTGATGTGATAATTGATTTATACTTGATAAATCGGAAGGTGATGATAAACTTGTCGATATAGATGAAGATCCATTATTCCAATATTCAATTATTTGTTTTACTAATCGAACCTGAAATAAAAGAAAAGTATTCCCGATATGAACAAAAAAACTTTTAAAATAATATACCTTATCAGTACCTGCACTAACTGATATAGATTTTCTTGCTAAATATTGCATTAGGATATCTCTTCGAATTTTTTTTCGTCGTAATAATTGCATCGCTGATTGTGAACATTTAAGACAAGCATCAACTGCTTCTGATCTCTACAAATAAAAGAATAATGATTGTTTTTTTAAACATAAACTATCAATTCTACCGTATTTGCTGGTATCATAGATTTTGTAACTGTATCTTTTACTGACATTAATTCTTCATCGCTTAACATTGATAGGAGTTCTTGTGCTCCTATTTGTTCTAACTTATTCATATCTAAAAATAAATTTCGACCTAATTAAATAAAACCCATTTCCTAAAAATATTCAAACAATAAAAAATACATAAATATTGCCTCATGATTGGGTTTTTCCTTTTCGTTTTTTTT